CGGTGCCTGAAGCACCTTGGCCAATTTTCTCCATCTTGGTGTACTTGCGATTGGGATCGCCGACAGAGACAATGGTGCGCAACTTCTCCAGTATTTCCTCATCAGACATTTTCTTCTTCTTGGCATTGGCGGCACGTGTCGTCGTAGTTGTTGTGGCACCCGCTGCCTGCTGTGGCACCGCAATTTGTGTACCCGCTGCTGGCGTAGCTGCCAACGCTGAGGCGTTGAGATTGTTGGCCGCCGGATCGTGGTACAGATCTTTAGCGGGTGTGGCAGGTGTTACCATCGTAATAGTAGGCGTGGGTGTGGGAACAACAGCAGAGTTGCGTATGGAAGACGTTGGTGTTGTACAGTGTATCGAGGGCAAGATGTGGGCGCAAAGCGGCGGCGTCGCATCATCATGAAACGAGGGGAACGATGAAAAGGAGGAAGCAGAAGAGTCGTGATTAGTCGTTGTTGCTGTTGCTGTTGCATCTGCTGCTGCAGCATTACACTCAAGAAGCTGCTGCTGCTGCTGCTCCTCTCTGTTAGGAGCTGCAGTTATGGTAGTTGAGGTACCGCTAGTGGGAGGACAATTAGTAGCATTTGTCAAAGCAGACAAAATACGAGCAGTAGCAGCTGTTGTTGTTGCCTCAATGCTTTCTGTTTCTGTTGTTGTTGCTGCTGTTGCTGTGGTTGTTGTTGCTGTTGCTGCTGTTGTCGCTGTGGAGCTGTCTGCTTCTGTCGCAGTTGCAGTTGTTGCTGATGTTGCAGTTGTTTGGTTGTTTAGCAGCAATTCAAAGCAATTTCAAAACAGAACAAAACAGAACACAGAAGAGGCGATACAAATGACAATAACATTAGCAATATGCATCAATTCATCAGTGCATCAATTACTTGAACTAAAACAAGAGAACTGAAACCATCTTCGAACTAAACCGAAGTCGCCTTTTACCCTTGCAGCAATATGGAAGATCGATTTTCTGACAATTATTGATACAAAAGTGAAGAATATTTAATCTTTTTATCAATACTATCTTAAGTACACCCCATATATAAAGCCTCAATTGATGTTTAAGTCTTTATACATGATAAAAGAAAACTGCGGTTGGGTTCATATTAATTGTCCAGTATTCCATAAATAAATCTGTGTCTAATAATATTTGTTTAGTTTTTATCATCAAGTTTTTCTTCAATTTGATGTGATTCCCATAATATATTTAACTATTATCTCATACGTTTCTTGACCTAATATCACCTAGTTATTTATTGACATCGAATACTAAGCCAGAGCGGTTGGGTTAAATTTAGCAACAACTTGGTAGCATATCTTAAGGAAGCGATTAAAATCAGGTATTTCCTGGGACTGCAAGGGTTTGGTAAACTTTATATTTGACAAATAGCTAAATAGCTATGGCTTGCCAAATCGCTGTAAATTACTCACTTGCATTGTTCTTGTTCTTGTCCAGCGTCGTTGTGGCATTGTTAAGCAGTAGAGGAGACGCCGCCGCCGTCGTCGTTTTGTGGTTTTGTAGTGGCGTTGTGGGCGTTGTGGCCGGTGCCGCTGGCATTGGCGTTGGCTGCAGTTCCTCGATGGGTCGCGTGTAGATAGACTTCGTGCGCTCAGGCCGGGATGCAACAGGCGGCGGCGGCGGCTGCTGCGGCACCATGCCCATATCTGCATACATATCATTCTCATTGGCAGATGAATGTTGCGATGTCGATGTGGAGGCTGTGTGGCCGACAAAGTTATACGAATGCGATTGACTCAGGCCAATGTGATGCTGATGCTGGTGTTGCTGTTGATTCTGCAGCTGTTGCTGCTGTAATAATTGCTGCTGCTGCTGTTGGTAGTGATTGCCCAGCAATTGACCTGCAGCGGACACATTGTTCGCATTGGGGCCCAGTGTCATGCTGCCCAGCTGCACGCCAATCAAGTTGCCACCACTGTTCGAGGCATGCAGCTCTGAGTCTGTGGGCGTGCTGCTGGGACTACTGCTGCTCACGCGGCTCAGCGAAGATCCTGAAATCAGTATATACAATTATTTTAATTGTTTGTTTATTTATAGGCATCTTAAAGGGCAATGACATATGCTAATGAATAAATTGCGGCTTTAAGCTTTTCATTAATATTTTCAAATAAGTTAAATATCATTAAATTGGTTTCAATAACTATTTAGTTTTAATAAACAAAAAAGACCGGCTTTCATTGGCACGCCAAAGATTAAATACCCTGGAAACTTTATTATTTAAAAAAAAAACATTTTCCCGATTGATTTTTCATTTGTATGAACCGTATTGTACGGTATTGTGGTTGGACAGACAGACATGGCTATACGAACTCGGTTACAGGGTATTGAAAGATCACGTTTGCACTTACCCGAATGCGTGGTTATGGCATTTGTCATGTACTTGGAACTTGGCCTCTGTTTGGTTGTATTGTCGAACCACTTGAGCACATCGAGCACGGCTTGCGGATTCTTTTTCTGCTCCTGTTTGCTGATGTTGGAGTTCATCAAGAGACGCGCCCAAGCCTCTGGCATACCCTGTAATGTGCAGAAACTTCGATTAGCAAATTTGATTCGTAAAAGCAATAAAAAGGAGACCAGCTAAGGTGGGTCCCCATACACACAGAGAGAGAGAGAGAGAGAGAGAGAGCAGCAAGGGAAAGCGTGGATTGGGTTTATACTTTTCCAATGAAATCTGGGAAAATTAGGGAGCCTGCGACTAAAAGCAGTTGAACTACGAATATTAAGCGAAGCCATCGGCAACAGTTTAGTGTGGTGTTTGGGTTTGGTGTAGTGTAGAGAAGAGAACACGAACGAAATGTGAACTATGGAAGATCCGATCTCAAAACAAAGAATATGGGAAGACAGACAATTAAACAACAGATGATTGGAATTTCGCTTAGAAAACTAATGAAGGCAAGTTCTGTTGCTTAGGACTTGGTGTTTACTTACTTTCATTGGCAGCTTGAAATAATAACGAATAATACAAAATTGGTATAGAAAATATCGCGAGAGAAACATAATGTACAATTAAGTATTTTATTAGGGGGTATCAACAAAAACAATGCACAAAATTCTCTGCTAATGAATGATCGGAGCGGTTATGCTTAAAAAAGGCTTCAATATTTGGAGCTTAAAAGCTCAAGAGATTTATAAATAAAGATTTAAATACAGCATCCCGACTACGTGTAAGCTTAAGCATAGATATGTAAAGCTTTAATATCTTTTCAGCTCTAACATGGGCAGCTTTATACTTAAGCTTTAAGCTGTAGTTCAAAACTCAAAGCTTCACTTAAAGCTGACAAATTTTTAAAAATAAATGAAACTAAACTTCAATCATTAAAAACTCGTTTTAAACTTAATTCAAATTTCGTCTTCTAGCTGGAGTTTATCATAAAATGTACTAGACCCAAAATCAGATGTCAATTAAAAATTCAAAAAACATCCAAAATGAAAAGAAAAGCCATATGGCTTGGATAAATACAAACGTTATGCCGATAATCGAAGTGTTTAGATTGATATGATTTGTGTTGTTTTTATTTGTTTTAGCGTCTCAAGCTTATCATATGGAACTCGCAAAACACAAAAAAGATTGGCAATCGAAACTTTTATATTGCATTTTTTGGGCCATAAAACAAATTGATTGCGAGGCCAAGAAGCAAGCACATAAGAACGTATATTTATGATAATACTTGATATAATCGAGAAATTCTACACGAACTCACCGTAAACTCGCCGGTGACTGCATCGAAGCCCACATGGACAGTGTGCTCAAAGTTAGTGGGATACGATATATTTGGTTTGGAATCCATGTGCGAGGGTTTTGAGCCTTTGATCTTGTTCTTGAGCGTCTTCTTCTTGCGATCCGCATCGTCGGGCTCTTTGATTGGAACAATAAAATAAAAACTTGTTGAGCGTACCAATGGCGACCACATACTGAACACGCTTACCTTTGGGCAATGGGCGCATATCAACTGGCGGCGCATCCCCGACGCCGCCAGCGCCGCCCGTTCCGCTGCCGGGGATGGGAACACGTTCGATGCCAACGCCGCCACGATTACTGGTGAGACGCACTGGCGGCGCCGGTGGTTTATCCTCTTCGCTGGACATCTGTTCTGTTCGTGCTGTTGTCTAACAAACGCCTGGCTACCGTTCGGATTTATAGCAAAACAGCTGTAATTAAGAATTATATTAGTACTCGTTATTGATGTTAACAAATGCTCAAATGCAACGAAGTATTTCATATATTGGTGCATGCGTCAGAGCAAGGGCAGGGACAAGGCCTTTTTATCTACAACAATTCTTATCTAACTTGGATTTCTACTGTTGCTTTAGTTCTTTCGTTTTAATTGTGTGCTTATATATTTTCTTTTGCGGGCACGTCATACAACTATGGCATTGTCATAATAAAATCAGCACAGTTCATGCTATATACACATTATATATATGTATATATATATTAAATATCATATATATACATAAGCGATCGCACATTTATAACGTATGTATATGTATAGACCCCGACTTGTTTCACTGATTTCTGCTTATTTCCACTTAATGTTTGTCTATTTTTTTGTGATTATCTGCAAAATCATTTGAAAAATTGTATGCTCTCAATTGAAACATTTTTTTTTGGCACACAAAAATCATTTTTGTTTTTAAAATGGTTAAAGCACCCACACAATATATGTATAAATATATATGTATATATTTGCTGCAACAACAACAATTTATGGGCCGACAGACGAACCGACTCTGGCAGTTGCGCGGCTCGGACTCGCTTTGAGTGTCACTGCCACTGCCCGGCAGCGGCAGCAGCGCCAGCAGCGGCAGAGAACTACAACACTGAAAAGTAGAGAGCGAGAGAGCGCCAACGATCGTGGGCAGCATGGGAGAAACGAACGACACAAGCTTGCAGTCACGATGTGCGATAACAAGAGCCGCAGCTGTAATCGATTGTCATGTTAATAAAAACAAAAACAACAACCAACAAAAACAGACCAATAATGCGTGGGCAGCGGGCAGCGAAGCAGCAACTAAACATATGTCACAAAGCAAGCTCTACTCTCTCTCTCGCTCTTGCTCTCTCTTTTATTTTTTCTCTATTTCCATGTCGGTGCGTTTGCCGGTGGCGTTGACTGCGCTGCTTTTATGATTCATTTATCAACGTCAAGCGTCAAAAGTCAATGCAGTGACAGCGGCGGCGTCAACGCCGGCAGCAGCAAATACTACAATAACAACCATGTACTATGTGGCGCTGGGTGTGAAAATTATAGGCAAACAATTATTTTTTGTCTGTGCACTCGTATGCTTGTTGGCCGTCTGCCCAACATCAAGAGCGCAATGATGACGAACATCGACGATAGGTAAATCTTGGTTTTTGTTTTTCCCCCACGTGTCGGCAACTCCAAACAACTCACGACGAGTGCGGCGCCAAGAACTGGGTTAACTTTAATGTGCTGTTCTTGTATTTCAGATTTGAGCACCCTGTTTTCATTTGCGAAAGAGCATATGAGTGTGGCATGTCAGTTCCTATAAACAAAGGTCGTTTTCTGAAGCCATTAAATAATTGACTGAACTTTGGTTAATCTAGATGCCTTTGTAAATAATAATAGTACATGCAAATATGCATTGAATTAATATATGTTTTTTAGCACTGCTATTTTGGCCCTGGCAATAAGTTGCGAAGAGTATCTAGCAGTCGTGACTGCGAATGCAACGTTCTTTTATTTTGTAACTTATATTTGAAGTTCAAGTGAAATCAATAAAATATCTATATGTAAATAAGCATATGATTACTTACATACATATATATTGTATATATAAGTGCATCTGAATGTGTCTGGCTATGAGTTTTTACTGCAAAGCAGCTAATGCAAATTATTCCCTAATGAGCAGCAGCACCACAGGAAACCCGACAACACTTGCGGCATTCAGATTAGTGTGTAGAATGGCAGACGCCCAGTTGCAGGCTTCACGCGCCCCATTCCTCTGCTCTTGATCAAGTGGGCCAAACAGACACACATACCTTGCTGCATGTTGCAATAAAAAACAACAGCAACAGCAACGGCAACAGCAACTGCAAGTGCATTGAGTACGCTGCCTCCAAGCGCTGAGCGCAGACACAAGCATACTCACACATGCACACAGATGCACACACACAGGCACAGGCACAGACACGTATGGCAACAACAAAGCCGACGACGTGAAGTGTTGCATTGTGGAACCAGTAAACTATTCTGTCAGATGAATTGATATAGGAAAAAATCACTTTTTTTAGCGTTGCTTTTTAATTAACAATAACTAATCAGTTACTTAATTTAAAATTTAAAGTTTTAATTTAATCGGAAATCATACTCAAATTATTTACTGAAACCTTACATTTAACTTCTAGGAAACGGTCTCCAAACAAGCAAGTGGAATCGATCACAACGAAAACAGTTACCTCATATATTAATAAATTTTAAATATTATATAACGTTGAATTTAAGCCTGCATAAATAATAGTTTATGAGCGTTTGATAACGATTCTGTCACACTGTGCCTTGTTGTCTATTTTGGTTTCTTCGCTACCCGCCGGAAATGTGTCTTCTACTAGTTCTCTTTATTCCCTCCCATTCAGTTGCAAGTTGGCGCATTGCCTTCCGTTTTGCGTTTTACCTGTCCGCACTAAACAAATATATTTATGGGTATATGCCGTTAACGTAGAGTACGCTAACCGTTAAATGCCAAATTGACTGCAAAGTGTGGCCAGTCTAGCATAATAATTATTACATACGAATGCATGTGCATATATGTATGTATGTATGTGTATACATACATATGAATGTTTGGATGTATTCATGTAAATGTCCCTTTATTGCTGCGCTTTGGCACGTTTTGCTTGTTCTCGTTGTTATTTTAGTTGTTTGCATTGCTGGCGCTTCACGCTGCACGTGCGTCTGGGGTGGGGGTTGCTGATGTGATGGTGGAGATGGTGATGGTGCTAGTGGCTCCCTGTATGCACGCTTGTTGACATTTTTTACATATACATTTTTTTAGGGGCGCTTACACTGTGTAATAGAATAGAATGGTGTATTTTTACACCAAAATAGAAATGGAGCAGTAGCCGCAATGCGTTAATCGCATATTATCTCAAACAAAATGAAAAACACGGGCCGCTTTCCTATCGCACACACACACACACAAGCACAAGCAAATGTAATGTTGGAAAAATCAATCAATGTGTGCGCCCGCTTAGGTGTCGCCAAACAGCTGCATGTTGTGCGCTGCTGGTTACCAATTGGAATTTGATGCAGTTTGCAGTTTTTATGAATGAAACTTAAAACAACAACATAAACTCACAGGTATGTATGTTGCAACACCCTGTATGCCGACGTCGCGACGTCGCTTTTCAAGCGTGCTGAGATTTGGGAGCCTGTATTTGTGGCTGTAGGCAGCCGCCTCCTTTTTTTTTTTTTGTTATAATTATCAAGCTCACTTCAACACTTCACTACACATTTGCTGGGCTTTTTGTAACTGCTTACGCAGCGTCTTCTTTTCTCGTTTTCACTTAAAGTTGTAGTTTCTCGATTTAAATGGCCGACAGTAAAGAAAACTGCATTGGCAGCAGGCAGCAGGCGATGCAAAGCCAAATCCAGCAATTGTTTTCGCACCTAATTCGATAGCTGGCCTTTAATATACCTTGAATACGCGCGATTTTACCGCTTATGTGCAATACGAAAGCTTACATTTTATTTTAAAAACGTTCCTTGTAATAAATACAAAAAACATGACACATGTAAATTGTGTGACCGCAAGCGGTTGGCGATAAAATACTCAACAGAAAGACTTGATTACAAATGCGGCCAACACTTAACATTTTGATGAATGTTATTAACAGCGAGCAATAATTTTTGGCTTGCAAATCTGTCTGTTTTTTTTTAGCTATTAAAATAGCAAATTCGGCTCAAAATTGGGTAACTGTATATAAGTCAAAGTAATATTTAATTGCCAACCAGTTTAGTTAAAAAAAGGAATAACATAACGAACCATTTGTAAGGAATGTTACATGAGCATTATTCTTATCGATTAGACAAAAGTATCGATATAGTTCTAACGAATCTGTTTTAGTTCTTAAAGAATCCCAATTTGGTTCTTTTAAAAATTCTCAAAATCTTCTCGTGAATGAAAATCAAGTATGGGATAAAACAACGATATCATAATTATTTACTTCAAAACGTTAAAAAACGTTAATTTCTAGTTATCGGTATTTGCATACCAAAAAACTGCTCGAAAAACTTTCCGCTGGTAACACTGTCTTTTAAATGCCATGCAGTTGACGAGCGCCAAACAAAACTGAAATATTTGAACTTAATCTAATGTTAAATATTTTGAAGTTCGCTGTCAAACAATTTTGTTACATAATAAATATTCAATTATCTATTTTGCTAAAATAGACAGCGTCAAGTTTTAACACGATCCGAAAAACATTCAAAAATTTCAATTGCAACCCCTAATTGTCATGTTGGACTTTGACATTATGCGACGCGTCCTTTTATTTACACAAAATGTCAGTTCAAAGCACTTTGAACGACACTTCTAGTGGCCGACGCTCTGACCAATCATAGAGCAAAACAATAATTGTTTACAAATTGTTAACGTGCTGCTAGTCCGTGGCGATGATTGTCACTTTTGACATGTTACGCCCCCCAGCACCAGCGAAATTCCAGGTTATCCTCTGTGCTCAGAGTGGCTGTTGTTGCTTCTGGGCGTTGGCGAGGAATCCGCTAAATAAATAAAAACTACAAATCATGTTAAAACACAATGCACCCAGTGCTGAAGTGTCTTTGATTTGCATATCATTTGTGGACGCCTCTCTATAAAACCGCCAATAACACGGCAATCCAGCTTAGTTGACGCCAAATACTTGGAGCGTCCATGTCACTTGTATCGATACATAATGCCTGCCAGGTGTGCGGAGACCAGAGCTCCGGCAAGCACTACGGTGTCTCCTGCTGCGACGGCTGCTCCTGCTTCTTCAAGCGTAGCGTCAGGAAGGGCACCCACTACACCTGCATCGCTGTGAAGGGCAACTGTGTTGTGGATAAGGCACGCCGCAACTGGTGTCCTTTCTGTCGATTTCAGCGCTGTCTGGTTGTGGGCATGAATATAGCTGCCGTTCAGGAGGAACGTGGTCCACGTAGTCAACAGGCGCAGAGCGCCCATGGTCGTCGGCTGTTGGCTGTGACGCCTCCGCCACCATCGCCAGCTGGGCAGACGCTGCACTTCCAGATACTGGCACAAATTCTGGTAACATGTCTTCGCCAGGCGAAGCTTAACGAGCAGTTTCGTCTGCTGGAGCGCGCCCAGCAAGATGCCATTTTGCAGGTGGTCTGGAGCGAGTGTTTCATATTGCGCGCATCGCATTGGTCCCTGGACATAAGTGCCATGATCGAAAGCTGTGGAGATGTGCAGCTCAAGCTGCTGCTATCCGAGGCGCAACAGCTGCGCGCCGATGTTATGGAGCTGAATTTTCTAGAAACGCTTATTTTATGCCGCAAAGGTGCGTTGGGTCTCATACAACGTATTCTCAGTTTTATCATTTGTACCCTTGCAGAACTGGCTTTAAACGCTGATTATGCCCTGATCTTGGAGACGCACTCTAATGGGGCACTCTGCTCCTTGGCTCGCTACACACTCCATCGATCCCATTGGTTACGCTTTGGTCAACTTTTGCTCGGATTACGTCAGCTCTGTCTGCGACGCTACGATTGCGCCCTGTCCTGTATGTTTCGCAACGTAGTTAGGGATATTCTGAAAACACTTTAAGCACAAGAGCTTAAATATTAAATATCCATAAAATATATAATCTAATTCGTTTAGTTTTTAAATATGAGCAGAATAGAGTCATGCAATTGGAATGCTTAAAATCGTTGATATTTGTTTTAGGCAGAATTCAGTTAATATTAACAATTTTATTTATACAAGTGGAAATTACACATATGTTATTTAAAATTCGTCAATTTGAACTTCGCGGGGTTGTAACAGCTGTTTTGCTGTGTTCTGTTTCCATGCATTTCACAGCGCAACGTCTGTTAATGAAGCACAGCTAATTTTCTCTGCGCCAGTGTGACCAAAACTTAAAAATGACGTGATATCGAAAAAGGTTTTTTTTAGTTTATTAAACAGTGTTTACCTGAGCTCGCCGTTCGGCATTTAGAACATTTTATAAAATAAACTCGTGGCCGCGCGTAAAAGTTAACACAAATATGGCAGATGACACCAATGAGGATAGCTGGTTGTACGGCACATCAAATCCAGACTCAACGACCAACGAAATATCAAACGGCAGCGATGCATTGGCGGCGGAGCACGAGGCACTTGCAGCAGTGACCGGTGAGAAGCCTGGAACTGGCGCGTTGCCTGCTTTTCCCAAGGAGGAGCTGCTGGAATATGCCGAGTTCGAGGATCCTGCCAAGGAAATGGAGGAAGATGAGGAAGCGCTGCCAGATACAACGGACGGCAATGCGCGAATAGCGCCCGGCGCAGACCTTGGCGCCAGTGGATTGGATGACGCTGGCTCACAGGAGGATTCCGAAATGGCAGATTTGATGGAAGTCGCGCCCGGCACAATGCCGCGCAAAGAGCGCAACGGCTCAGGGTCCGACGATGATGACGATGACGATTCTGATGATGATATTAATGTGGTTATTGGCGACATTAAATCAGCACCCAGCACGTACAACATTAAACAACGACCCAATCTGTTGGCTGGCGCAACAGCTGCAGACAAAGCCAAGCCAACGGCTCAGGCGGGCAAGTTCAGTATCGAGGACTTCGAGGGCGCTGGCACCATTAACGGCGTCGCCGTACACGAGTTCAGTATAGACTCGCTGGAGGAGAAGCCCTGGCGCAAGCCCGGTGCTGACATAACCGATTACTTTAACTATGGCTTCAACGAGGAAACGTGGCGCGCTTACTGCGAGCGCCAGAAACGCTTTCGCGTGGCTGAGAGCGGCGTAGGCCTGGCCAGTCTAACCCAAAATGTGAATCAAAGTGCCACGTCAATGGGCATGCCCGATGGCGGCAACAGTGGCGGTTTAAGTGGGCCCATGGGCATGGGCGGTCCCATGCATCATCACCAGCCGTTGGTTGTCTTGGGCGATGGACCCATGCAAATGCCGCCGCCAGGCATGCCGCCCATGATGCAGCATCAGCCGCGTCCAGGCATGGGCATGATGGCGCGGCCGCCACGTCCCATATCTACGACTGGGGGCGTCAAGGAGAATGCCATACAGGTGATGACGGCAGAGTGTCGTGAGTATTCGCGCGGTGGCCTGGGACCTATGGCACCCAATTTTCCTCCACCGGGTGCTGCCGATGAGCCGTTCTTCCATGAACCAGAACCGTTCGACTATGGTTACGAGCCTACCCAGGAGTCACAGTGGGGCAATGATAACGCCGGCTGGGTGCCTACTGGCATTAAGGAGCTAACACCTGGTCCCGTACACCACCCGCCCCAGCAGCAGCAGCAGCAGCCGCCGCCGCAAATAGGCGGACCTCCGGGAATGCCGCAAATGAATGTACCACCACCGCAAATGGGCGGACCGCCACCACAGCTGCGGGGACAGCATGCGCCGCCCGGCATGATGCCGCCCAACATGCGCATGCCGCACAATATAGGTGAGTGGTGCACTCTCAATCACAAATTTCTTATACTCAATTAAATATTTCAAAATTTCATCTGTACAGGCATGGGTCCGCCGCCAGGCATGATGCGTATGCCGCATAACATGAGTAAGAACCTTGTATCTCTTGCTATCAAACTCTTTATTCATGTATTTTTCGCATTTATCATGCAGACATGGGCCCACAGCAGAGGATGCCCATGGGAAGCAGTAGCGGTAATAGCAACAACAGCAACATGCCAGCCGCATCTTCCTCAGATCGCAGATCAGAGAGTTACGATGACGATCGCGAGCGGCGGCGGCGTGAGAAGGACAAGCAGCTGAAAAAAGAGCAGGTATATTTTATTAACCCCCATAAGTTCCAGAAAGCTACGAAAACCAACTCAACAGCTTACTTAATTTAACGTTGCCATTGTCTAGAATTAATAGGTCTTTCAAAATTGGGAAGAAGTTGATAAAAACGCTCTGTTTTTAAATTTCTTAAATGTTACTGGGTTAAGATGCATTAAAGTAGACAGCTCCAGCACTTTCTTTTTATTCTGTATCAAATTTGAATCTATTGATTAAACTTTCTGTAAAACAGTTCGATTTAAGAATGCAGTACACAAATCACAGTCGGTCGAATTGGATTAATATAATCCATAGCTGTTATAGGTCGCATCTAAACAAAAGCGTTAAAGCATTTGTAAGCTTCTCAATTACTAAATTATACTTTTATTTTGTTTATTTTTCTAGCTACGTAAAGACTTTCTGGACATGCTGCGTGAGCGGCACGATATTGAGCGCCATACGCGCTGGTATGACATTAAGAAAAAATTCGAATCGGATCCGCGTTATCGGGCTCTGGATTCGGCCTATCGCGAGGAGTACTTTGAGGACTATTTGCACATACTAAAGGAGGAGAAGCGTAAGGAGCGTGACCATAAGGAGCGCGATAGGGAACGAAGCAATCGCGACAAGGAGCGCTCTCGCGATAAGGACAAAGACAAGGAGAAAGAGAAGGACAAAGAAAAGGATAAGGATAAAGATAAGGATAAAGAGAAGGAAGGAAGCTCAAGGCGCGAGGGACGCTCGCGATCGCGTGACAAGTCCAGTCGCCGGAAATCCAAGTCGCGCGAAAAGGATCGCAGCGAGCGCAGCAGCAAGCAAAGCACCTCTTCAACATCCAACTCGTCCAGTCGAAGCGAGAAGAAGAAATCACATCGTAAAGAAAAAGAGGAGGAGGAATAGCATTTATTTAGATATTATATGGAAGAGCATACCGTTCCTTGAGCTGGCTACACCCACAAATGCACCAATACACGAAAACTAAACAAAAAAAAAAAAAAAAATGCAAACAAATAAAAAACACTTCCATCAATAAAATCCTACAACTTAAGCAAAACATACAATTGATGGAGCTCTCAGCATTGTCAAATGAATAGCTTATTTAAGTAGCTTATATACAAAATTGTAAATTTTAAGTTTAGAATAACCCAGTCAAAAGGTTGTTAGTCTTATTGCAACTGTTGGACATGAAGGGATTCCAATGGAGAGACAAAATGCAGGATCTAAAAGATACTAGGGCCTTCATCTGCTGTTCAATAATCGAGCCCGGAATTAAGATTTTTTTTTTTATCTGGGAATTGGTATGACACCGAATTTCGTGAGTTTGAAAAGTACCCTTCATGAAAAATCAAAAATCTCAACAGCCCTCTGATACTCCAGCTGGATTACGTGGAAGAAGCAATGTACGGCATAGAATCTGGTATCAGGGTATTGTTTAGATCGGATCACTACATTTTTGAAAATTTGAGAAATCATTAACCACAATTCCTCTCTCTCTCTCTTACAACTGGAAAATAAAGTAAAGTCCAAAAGATAGGGGATTGTCATCAATCAGCCTTGAGAATCAATTAAAACATGATGTAGATTGAATGCCTATAATATAGTCAGGTATAAGCTGGGGCATATTTATTATGTTCTTTTGCAATAAACATGTCATAAACAATCGTGTGAAATTGGTTTAAAAGTTGAATTAACAACATGGCCAGCTATTAAAAGTGAAGTATGAAGGCTTTTCTGCATACCATAAAAAAAAGTTGAATATTTCCGGTATCAAATTTCCCATTAATTTTATTTAACAATACCGTTCCATTTATTTATATATTTTTATTTGTAATATAACCGTTTATTAATATTCATGCCAACTTTAAAGGTAACAGCAAAAGTGTCAGCTTAATTAACACAAAATAAATGCTTCCGATGTAAATTAAGAGAAACAACAGCAAAAAAATCATTAAAGCTGGTAAATAACATGCATTTTTTTTTAGCTTTGACATAATTGACATTGGGTTCTGTCGTAGTTTGAGCCGGTAATTAAGATGCAATCAAATTAACAGAACTTTTTATTAATAAACAAAAATTAAATAATAACATATTTGCACTAATTAAACAGTTTATTTGTTTCGTCTTAGAGCTTAGCCTATGTAGGTTATAAAAGTTATGTATTTGTGGAATTGATTTAAATTTGAATTATATTCCAGTTAATTTAGCTAGACTTACATTTATTAACTGATATTTTTGATTTTCTAGCTGTTTTTATTAAATATTTATATTTATACTTGACACAGAGGTTGAGTAGTTTACAATCCGACTAGACTACAAATAGACAATTAGATCAACTCTTGCGGATCATTAAATACATATATTTTGCTTCGCCACAATCTAATGTACTTTTCTTGTTATACCCTTGTAGCGGGTATTATAATTTTGTCACCTCATGTGTAACATATAGAAGAAGTTCTATTTTCGAACCCATTATGGATCAGAGTCAGCAGCTGAGTCGGTTTCCCAATTTTTGTCCGTCTGTTTTGATGCAAACTAGTCTCCTACTTTTAAGACTTGGCATATACATGACGGACATACATATGACGGACTCTGCCAACTATTATATTCTATAGCTGCCATACGAACAATCAGTGAAAATGTATTTCATTATAAATTGTCCAAACCTGGCATTTACTTGTATTATATGAGCTATGTCTCATCAACATCAGTGTGGCATGTTAATAATCGGTTGTAGAATGAGTTTTTGTATAACAAATGATTTCTTGACGAAACCTTAAACTAACGAGCTTCACTTTTCATTCATAACATTCATGTAAAACTTTATCAAACCGGATTAGTATATCATATGGCTCCCATAGGAACAATCGATTAAAAATAAAGCTCTTGTATAAAAGCATTTCTAAGCCATATGTCTACAAGGGTATTAAATCTGCGGCGTGCCGAAGATGGCCGTTTTTTTTTGTCTTGCCTTTTGTTTTTTTGTTTTATAAAATAAACAACGATTGTCTTTAGAAAACTAAATTCACGTATTTAATTCTTATTTGATATTATGTTTGTCGCCAAATACGTTCTTTAATAGGTATTTAAACAGTATCAACGGTATTTACATACGTGGTATATATATGTATATATATGTAGGTATATTTTCAATACTACGAAAGGAACTTCTTCATGTAGAATTGAAAACACATTCGAGTGAATGCATGAATCAGCCCGACATTTTGATCAGATATAGTTTTTGTTCAGTTCAGAAATTGCATGTAGTTGATTATACCATATAGTTAATTATAGCTTTGATTAGACTTACACAAAATTGATTAATACTCAAGATGGTTACCGAACCGAATCTTTGTACTTACTAACCAGATACAAATAGGGTGGATTCGTAACCGATTAATGTCTAGAATTTAAATATTTTTAATGACAATTGTGTCTACGGTATTCTAACATTTATGCTAAATACGAATTATGGGAATTATATGTTCGTAATATCAATTTAGATTAAATCAAATATAAGGCTACTTTCTAATTTCTTGCGTCAGTTTTCCATGGGGCGAATCATAAGAAAATAAAGCTAATAAGGAAATTTAATTGGTTACAATGCCATATCGATCCAAGTCAGTTTGAATACCCGCATCGAGTATATCGATCGACGGACAATACTGATCTTGAACTAAATTGTACTTTCATTTTGCAGCTGGAACCAAGTTTGCTTGCATCGAGGTACTATACTTTGCACATCACAACACTCAAATTGTCGGACACTCACATTAAGATGGCCTCAGACCTAAAGCTTTACGAGTTACTTGGCGCAGAGGCCTAAACTGTGTCCTATCTGCCCAGCAGCTGCTCCACGTTGAGAACTACCTCAGGGCCGGGCCTGGCGGTTTCCTGTGGCGCATTGGGGCTGCCGCTGCTGCTGCTGTTGTTGTTATTGTTCTTGCTGCTACGGCTGTGCGCATCCAGGCCATTCAGAGTGCGCGAAGGTGCCGGCGAGGTGGGCGCCGAGAGCAAAGGTGGACTCAGCTGGGTGGCCGGAGCGGGCATGGGTAGCATCGGCGGCGATTGGGCCTCCAGGGTGGAGGGCGGACTACGATTTAGGTTGCTATCCAGACTGCTGTGGTGTTGCGAGGAGGCCGGCGACAACGGTATTTCCTCAATCTTCTCCAGATCCTGCGCAATGGAGCTAGAGTTCTGCTTGTGCGCCCGCGTCAATGTGCCCTTCGGACTGCGCGATGTGTCATGCAGCATCGGTATTTCCAGCATAGAGTTCTTACTGGCAAACATCAGGGCTGCGTAGTTGTTTGCCTGCAGCGACAGCTGGTGCTGGTGCTCCACCTTGGCCTGCTGGTCGTCACGGTCCAGACTGAACTGACGGCGCAGCAGGCGACTAGAGCCGGGCTTGCTATCAAACTTTGAGGCGCTGGCACTAATGGAGCAGCCCCCACTACCAGATCCAGTGGCTCCAGCGACGCTGCCACCGCCAGCATTTCCATACAGATACTTGCCATCATAGAATTGGGATAAGTTGCTCTCGCTGGGACTGAGACATTTATAGTGATTATACGGTGAGCTGAGATCCATCATTTCCTCAATCTTCTTATACAGCCGGGAGCTAGACCCGCCCGTAGAGCTGGGCAAGCGATTAAAGCTGTTCGGATTCAACAGACTATCCGGCGTTAGTTCAGACAGCTTGCGCGACTGTGGACTTGTGCTGCTTGGCGTTTTGCTGGGAAACTCGGGGCACAGCGTCGGATTTGGGCTAATCGTGTTGGGGGAATTCGAGTCCAGCGAATACGAATTGGGCAGATGGCTTGAGCACATGTCCGTGTTAGCGGGCGGTGTTATCTCCACTTTGACCTCCACCGATTCACCAGCCAGCGAAGAGCTCTGCGATGACGAGGGATTCGTGCTGGTGCGCGATTTGTTCGCCTGCGCCTTCAGTGTAATCGAGTTGCGTATTAGGGATTCGTCCAATCTGTGGCCAAATGTTTGTTATTAGTGTTGTAAAAGGGGAGCACAGTAATTACCTACCCATGCGACTCCCTGAGGTGCAGCGTGTTAAGCAAAGAATATTTTAAGTAAAGGGCTTTTATTTTATTATACCCTGAACCCATTAAAAATGGGTATAGGGGTATATTGTATTTGTGCAAAATCCAAATGTATGTAACAGGCAGAAGGAAGCATCTCCGACCCCATAAAGTATATATATTCTTGATCAGCATCAATAGCCAAGTCGATCTAGCCATGTCCGTCTGTCCGTCCGTCCGTCCGTCCGTCCGTATGTATGAACGCAAGGATCTCAGAACCTATAAGAGCTAGAGATTTTTAGATGTAGATGCTCCTAGTTTCCGCGCAGATCGAGTTTGTTTCAGATAATCGATAACTTGCTCCGTTTCCAAGCAATCGATAAAAATCGATATCGATATCCAGTTTTTTGGGCAATTTTGGGAAATTATAAGAGCTAGAGTCACCAAACTTGACATATAGCTTCTAAAATAGAATATATATATGCATTTGATGCTGGAAGAAGAGGGTTCAGGGTATCCCCTAGTCGGGAGCTCCCGACTAGAACCTCTTACTTGTTTTTAAATTAATCAATTTCAAAAAAACCTCTTCCCATTTAATAGTTATACTCTGAGATATACTCAAACAATTTAAAAAGTTCATTAAGAGAATTCTCGATATCAAAGTTAGGAATAATCTAAGCTACTCTTTTTTGTTACCAAATAAAATGATAATAGTGTATTTACTGTTCACATAACCTTAACTAATTATTCCAAGTGTATTTTATGTGATCTTTTGACCGATGATAAACAGTGGATCGGTATGCTTGTCATTTGATGATTGACTTACCCGATGGGTGGTGGCACAGGGAGCGGCTTGTCAAATCCCTTTCTGCCCAGCAGCCAAAACGTGTTCATCATTCCTTTGCCTTTGATATCGATGAGCCCGCGTGGCTCTATGGAATACCCACCACGAGCCTCCAGGCGATCGCGAGTCTCTTGCGACATGTGAATGCGCCAGGAGGAACCTGTGCAGCGCAAAGTGGAGTTATATGTGATGCGTGCATGTTTATGAAATGACAGTTGCAATTTTACCCGTAGATTCCATTCTGGAGGCCGTATTGACCGTGTCACCAAACAGGCAATAGCGCGGCATTGTTAGACCCACAACGCCGGCACAGCAGGGACCCGTGTGCAGACCAATACGTAGCTGGAGCGGCACGCCCGGCAGATGCTTGACATTGAAGCGTCCGCTTTGATGCAGCAGATCGAGCGCCATGGTGGCTATCTGCTCGGCATGATCGGGTATCTTCACTGGCAGCCCGCTGACCACCATATAGGCATCTCCGATGGTCTCCACCTGAAGGCGCGACACTAAAATTTCAAGATGGTTCTATATATGATGACATATCACTTACCTTGTAGACATTATAAGCATTGATTGTTGCGTCAAATATTGTGTAGAGGTCGTTGAGCAGATCCACCACCTGCACGGGACTGCAGTGGGCGGCGATTGTTGTAAAACCAACAATGTCGCTAAAGTATATGGTGACATCAGAGAATTCCTCAGGATCGACGGCCAGGCCCATTTTAAGTTTTTCAGCAACAGAGCTGTAAATTAATATTAAGTTAATTTACAGTCCAAATTCATTTTTTATAATATAACATATTTTACCTTGGTAACATGCGAATTAGCAGCTGCTCAGTCTTCTTTCTTTCAATGTCCAATTGCTCGGTGCGCTCCCGTATTAGCTCCTCCAGATTGTTTGAATACTTCTCAAGCATTTGGAACATTGTGTCCACAAAGTTGACTTTACGTCCGTGATTGAGCATCTTAAAGCGCTCGTAAACGCTGCGGATAATATCAGATTTTATGCAAAGCCAATTTCAAACTCAAATGAGCTAGTACCAAAAAATTTGATCGCATTTTGGTTAACTTCCCACATTTGTTACAAATATCTTAAAAACAAATTTATTTTTAGAGATATGTTTATGTGTTTTAATTTATGTATATGTTTCTCTTTTATATTTGAGGGCCGGAAATTTGATAATATTCGGACAATAAACATGGAAGTTTTTCAAGAATTAATATCCCATAGTGTTGGGCAAAGGTAAGAAGATGCAGAGCTGAACACGGAATGTGTATTTATTTGTATTTTTTTTTATATATGTAAATGGGAGTTCGAATCTTCGGGATGGTATTTTCGCACTGGTTTAAGTACCCCATACCCTTAAAAATGCACCGTCTAAATGTCTCTATTAATAACTCGTCGGGCTAGGTCACAGTTCACATAAGAGCAAGTGCAAAGAGCTGTTACTAAGAAGTTGACCCAGGTCGTTTACCCACGTCTCTTGAGCTTGACATCCTTGCTAATACTTACGAATTGAAATCAGGTCGCATTTCGGGCTGTTCGGCCCAACACTGTCGCATTATGTTGATGGCCTCTGGTGGGGCAGCCCCTTTGGACACTGAGGGCCTTATCAGTGGCGGTGGCTTTTTGATTTTGGCTATAATGTCGTCCGGCGAGAGTGAGAGCATGCAATAGGGCTCACCACGTACAACCACCTCCTGCATAATGATGCCGAAGGAATAGACGTCGCCCAGCTGTGTGCCCAGCTGCACACGTCCGTGTTGATTATGATGATGATGATGCTGCTGTTGCTGCATTTTCATGCTGCGCAGCAGCTCGGGGGCCGTCCATAGTAGCTCCTTGGTGCTGCGTGGTGGGGGCGACAAGCCCTGCGACTCGTAAAAGGAATTCAGACCATAGTCGGTTACCTTGAGCACCCATCTGGCGTCCACGACACAATTTCTGGACGTCAATGCACCATGGATGCGAAGCGGCGAGGCGTGCAAGTAGCGCATGCCGCGCACCAGATCGGTAAGCAGACTAAGACGGAAGGACCAGTCCAGCTTAATCTCATCCATAATAAGCACATCCTGCAGTGAGCCGCGTGAGCAATAGTCAAAAACCATGGCTGTGCGATTCGGATCCGAAAGCCAGCCAATTAGTGGATTTATATTCTCGTGCCGCAGCCCGTGCGCCATCACCAACAGATCCATGGCCTTGGAGCGCAGCTCAGTGGATCCATTCAAGTTTATCTCCTTGAGCTGTACCAGATCGCCATTGTAGCGCGCCCGCATGTCCAGATGTGCCGGCTTATGACGTGCCAGGCTGCCCGTGGCCGTGGAGCCACTCTTGCCATTGATAGTCGCCGTTGTGGTGCTTCCCCCAGCTCCAGTTATGGCACCATTGTTGCCGGCTGCTGTTGCGCCGGGTATGACAAAACCCAAATTCTTGAGCGAGCCAATGGACCCCTTGAGCAGATCTGGCTTGTCCACCTCGGGACCTCCAAACTCCTGCAGCTGTTGCAGCCAGCAGCAAAGCATCGCCTCGATGCCCTCGTCCACCTGTGGAAGCTTATTTAATTTCTGTGCTAATATTCGGGTGAAAACGTTCACTTACGCGACGGGAGTCCACTGGAAACACAAAGTCGCTGGCCGAGAGCACAATCTTGTTGGGTCCCTTCGACAGTCTTTTGCGTAAAAAGTAGTTTCTGGATATTGGGCGAAAATGATGAAGCGGTTAACTATTAATAAAGGCAAAACCATGCAATGCATAGCTAGTTGGACAAGAGTTAAGAGATGAAGGGTAAGGGACAATTACATGTTATTCTAGTAGGGACAAAAAAGTTGAATTGGCTAGTCAACCCAGAGGAGTCGATTTCGCTCGTAATTAACTTATGAATAAATATAACACCGAGCATAACTCTACATAAATTAAAGAGGTCAGATTAATCATCAGCAACCAACTAGAGTATGATGGCAGCCGCACACTAGGATCCCGGTATAATCCATGAAGGGCATATAAAAAGTATAATTTTTTATTCAAATTTACTTCTGTTTTAGTGAATCGAATATTTAGTGGCAACCAGACGCAAGAGCTATAAAATGGGTCCTTAATCGCATTGGAGCATCGCTTGAGGAAACTCAAAACAAACAAAAATTAAAACATTTTTAAGCCCAGTTTAAGTTAAATTGAATATTTTTCTGATTTGTTCTTGTAATAAGTTAATATATGCTACTTTAGATTAAATTGACAAATTTTCCGATAAGTTTATGGAATGAATTAAACCAATCGGAGAATATTATTAGAGCGGGTCAAAACTTTCTTACAAACTTACAAGCAGGAATTATCTTTTAGTTCATACTAATTATTTTATACATTTGTTATTAGGACACATGACCAAAATTGATTACTTTGGGTCCCATTCTTCTTCATTTTCTCCATTAAGATGGATTATATTTCGACACCTTTGTTTTTGGGTCTGATGTTGCTGCTCTATGTATCCACTTTTCATTGAGTATATGGACAAAATTAAAATGAGCACATCTCTGATTCATCATTAAATCGTAAACACAAATTGTCTAGTGTAATGGAAATGGCAATCAAACAATGAGCAACTGAGTAATTGCTTGTTTTAATATTTAAACAGTTGATTTTTAAAATACACACGTCACATTAGCATAATTGTTTGAGCTTAAAGCTTCATTACGAGATGGTTCGTTAGTTGGAAGGTTTACAAAAATTATATATTATTAAAACCTGCAAATGTGTATATAGCTAGCATAGCTAGATCGAATCGGCTGCTGATCCGGATCAAGAATATATGTCGCTGATAACTTCTATCGCCCGTTACATACACATGCTCAAACCAGCATGCTCTAATTTGTAATGGATATAGGGTATACACACTTAAATCAATTAATTGCCATTTACATTGGCGCAATTCAATATTTTCTACATTCTGTGGTCACATTTGCATACATATGAGAATATTTTAGTACAATCCGTCGGGCTGGCATTAAAATTCATTCTAAAGTCAATTAGTTAAACAGGTTAACTTGCTGTGAGCAGCATTAAACTGAAATGTTCTCTGATTTGTGCCCGTTGTTATTTAAGCTTAGTTAAAGTCCTTTGTTGGCAAGTTTACGCAACAGAAACAAATACTAAAAACTACTTTATTGTTAGCTTAATTAACTGTAGCTTGAAATGCCCTAGCTTTTTTTACACCATAAACATGGGTACAAGAGGGTTTCATGATTTTGTGCAAATTTATGAAACATACATTCCTGATCTTCACGATCTTGGAAATTACAAAAGACAGAGTCTTAAATGTTTAAATAAATATTCCTGTAAGATATTCCTGGAACATAGCTTATTTATTTTTTGATATCTTTGCCATTTCCATAATGTCGCAAAATATCAATTTTGAAACTAGTTTTATGAGCGTTGTGTTTATGTTAATATCAAAATTGGGGTGGATTATTTTCCAAATATTATTCATTTTTGTTATAAATATATAACCAGGCGATTTGAGATATACACATAGTTACGTGTCACTTTTGGGTAAGCGGAATCTCCTCCCAGCACCCATTGAAATAAGAATATATTATATAAAACAAGCTGAACAGGGTATTTTGAAGTCGAGCACCGACGAATAAAGCATTCTTATATGTCTTTTTTTTAAATTTACCCTTACCCTGCAATCAACATCTATTAGCCTAGTCAGTCGTTGGCTCTTGTGGTTCAATCTTATAAAGTTATTTTCTCAGTTGCGTACATACTTTCAGCTGGTTGGTAATACAACACTCATTCCGGCATTAGCCGAAAAACCGCACGGCAGCGTTAGAAAAGAGCAAATTCATGCAACAATTGTTGGGCCAGAAGTTTGCCACGTGGCCAAGTTGAGTAAGGTTAAGTGTATTATGCGCATTAATGGGCTTTGTCCAGACCTAGTCGAAACTCTTTGGGCCCACGTGTAACGGCTGTTAAGTAGCCAGCCCCAAAGCCATTCAAGTTTTTCTATTTACGGCACAGCTTACGGCTTAGCCACAGAAAAGTTTTACCTGTCCGTTAACCGAGCTGATAATCAACGGGATCGTTCAGCATAAAAACACCAGTGCGTGTGCATCATTTATATACACTATCTTTTTATGGGCACTTTACATACAAATAAAAGGGAGTTGTTTGGTTGGATTGGTTTTAAGATCGGGGATCCACAGTTGAAAATTCATTTTGGATAATAAAATATATGTTAATATAATAATGATAATAATAATAATGATAATAATAATAATGATAATAATAATAATAATAATAATAATAATAATAATAATAATAATAATAATAATAATAATAATAGTATTAATAATAATAATAATAATAATAATAATAGTATTAATAATAATAATAATAATAATAATAATAATAATAATAATAAAAATTAAAAATAATAATAATAATAATAATAATAATAATAATAACAATAGTAATAACAATAACAATAGTAATAACAATAATAATAATAATAATATTAAAAAAAAAAAAAACAATAATAATAATAATAATAATAATAATAATAATAATAATAATAATATTAATATTAATAATAGTAGTAGTAGTAATTAGTAATAAAATTAACAAAAGTTATTCTAAAACAAAAAAAAAACAATGCTAACTAGTAAAGTTGTCATTTCATCTATCTTATTGAGTAACTCGGATCCATCGGAAAGAAAGGGTATACGCCTTGGGCACTGCTTGTTTAGCATGTTTCTGTTTGTCTTGCCCTTTTTCAGTTTGGTGTCCGGTCGTGTTTTTCCGTTTTGTCCGGCGTACGCTAATTAAAACTTCATGAGTTGCATTTTGAGCGTAGGCGAAAATAGTTTCTGATGACTGTGGCTTAAAGTCCGACATGTGGCCAATTTAAAGAGACCTCTACTTTAAAATATAATTGCAGCTGCAATAATTGAGGGTCTCGTGGGAAGTGTTGCTCGCATGTCAAAGAGTAAATGATTTGTATAACCACACTTGACATGTTTGTTTCCTTCGATTGTGTGTCTCTGTGTGTGTGTGAGTGTGTGTGAGTGTTTCTAAGTGTTTGCGGTGTATAAAATGTCAACTGCCAGCCAACAATTTAAGTGTGCGGTGCGTAGCTTATGCTACGCTTTGATGAATGTAATTAATTAAATGTTCGTTTTAATGGACGTCCAGGTAAGTGTGTGTTTGTGTGTGTGTGTGTGTGTAATTCATCTGTGGCGTGTGTATTGATTTTGCTTAAATGATTTTTGGCCAACCAGTTTGTAATTTGCATTTAATGCTATGCGATTAAGGGTAATTGAAGCACGCAATTTGAAAGATTTCGAGAATGCTTAGAGCGAATGCCACAGAGTGCTTCCGTGTGATAAGAAATTCATTTATTGAAGTGATAATTTAAGGACTGTGTTATTAATTTCAAATCAGTTGAGTTAGTAATTTCAAACTATAAGCCTTAATTGAGAACGCCAATTAAAGTGTAAACTAAATTTAAATTTAATTTATTCATTTGGCGTTTGCCTCACTTAATAAAATAAAAAGCTTTTTAATTATGTCCTATACATAAACAAAACAGATATTTTTCCTCTACAATTTACATCCCCGAAAGTTTCAATGCAATAACATCAGGCAACTAACAGCCGAAAAGGGGGAAGAAACCGAGAAAAAACCTAATGATGAAAATTAAAATGGAAATTTCTACGCGCAAAATATTTTATGTCCAAGTCAATGGCGATGAATTACGTGGGCGAAACTTCCTTTAAGGCGCGCTAATTGATTATCTTTTATGGTTTTGGCAAATGTTGCCTGCCGCATAATGATTTAAAATAAGCAAATATATACAAAATATTATACATATAAAAAAGATGTATGCTCATTATGTCCGTCTATTGATGAAATCGAATCGTTTTTATTGCGATTCAACAAAAAAAGTAGCTAGTTACCTTAGAAGTATGCAGGATTGGTTGTATAATATATTGAAATACATTTTTTGTTAAATATATTAATAAATGTCTGGTTGGTTTTTTCCCTAATTTTTGCATATATATGTATATGGGGAAATAGTAAGGATATCTTCATAGAGCCGAATATGTAATACCCTTGCAGACATTTCCCTTTTGCAGATTTGTGAGAATATTGCAGCCCGACAATGCTGAGTTTGCTGAAATATCTTTAAAAATAGAATATTTTTCCATGTAAGTTCCTACTATTCCATCGATCTTTTCTGTTTTTCTACAAATGTTTACCAAAATCAGCAGCTACGAGTTTTACAAGTCGCTTCGCATATCTTCAATCTCTCAGTCATATGTATGTCTATAAGGGTATTTAATCTTCGGCTTGCCGACGACAGCCGTTCTTTTTTGTTTGCTTGAGTATCAGTTGTGCGGATTTTTTGCGTCACTTACCTCACGGCTACGCCAGCAGCCACGCTGGCAACCACAATGATGACCAGTAAGCCCATGCATATTGCTGCGATTGTCCAACAGATGGCGCCACAATGCCACATTTGAACGCTGCTGACCAACAGCCATTCATCGTATCCGGGCTGAATGGAGTGCGTTATGTAACTACCGTGACCTGCACCCTTGCCGCCCTCCAGTATGAGCAACGGCCGCCATTTGTATGTGGCAAGAGCAGCATCAACAACAATGTCCAGAACTAAAAAATCGTATTTCGGTGTTGCCGCCGTTGCACTGCCAGCCGCAATGTGCGACAGCAACAGATCGTAAAGTGAGAACAGATTCATAAAGGGTCGCAGCTTGTTGAGGCTGGCATTTTGATGAGCCAATGCCTCCATTGGCGTTTCCACTCCATTCACCGCATGGCCAGACGCTGGTGTACGAAAATTGTGCACCATGGCCATGCCAATCCCGGCCGCATTCAGAAAGTGTCGATGCTTATCGCTTAGCAGCGTCAGCACCAACAGATTGCTGGTCACCAGCCCGGACACGGGCAACTGCGGTATGCTGCTCCCATTGTCATTGCCATTGCTGTTGCCATTACCATTACCATTGCCAGTGGCCGCATTGATGCGTGCCAAATATTTGTAGAGTCGGTGCTCGACATTCAATGAGCTGGCCACAATATCGATGAGCAATACTTTTGTGTGCTGGTCCTGCTCCGCCCACTTGCCAGTTGCAAGCCAACGCAGGGTGCTTTCATCGTTCAGAGGCGCCGTAATAATAATTGCTAAGCTCGAGCGAGTGAAGAGTGTAACGGGGATAGAGAAAGAGAGAGAGAGGTAGAGATGTGTGGTTAGTTGGCAATATGCATGCAAGTGTAAGTGCTGATTTTTTGCTTTTGATCTGTTCGACTGGCCAATTTAATTGGCATTGGCAGCACCTACGTAATATACATACCTTTGCCCGCTTTTTCCTGTTCATGCAGGTCACGTATTGTGTCGCCGATTTCAATGCGATAAGGTATATGCAAGTTGGTCGCAATGGCTAGCGGTAGGCCCCAATTGTCGTCTGCAAGTAGAGAAACGATATACAGATATTGAAAGAACGAGATAGAGATAGAGATAGAGCGTGTGTGGCTGAGTGGATAACTCGACAGCTGTGACACTCTTGGTGGCTACTTTTCGATTTTGAGCTGAAAACAAAATTGCATTGTTGTTGCACGTTGGAACAAATTTCGTTGGGACGGCCATTCGATTTCTGCGGCCGGCACATGTTGCCTCATTAAATCTGATATTGAGTGTTAGAACTTTTGGGCCTAGATTAAAGTTCATTAAAGTTAAGCTGTTAGAGTGAGGGCATTGTAATGTGGTCCAACAACCACGCCCACCCATCTCCAGTGCGGCGCACTTGATATCCCTCACGCCAGCCGCCTGATAAGCATAAGCTACACAAAGCACTTAAGCCTAATACAACAAAGAGCAATATTAATTAAATTAAGAAACCCGACGCTTTATAAAAAAATACACACAAATGGCGCAAAAGGCAACAGAGGCCTTAAAAGCCGTTTAAAAATAAAATGATATAAAGAAAATGTTTATGTATAGGAGATTTTTAAAAAACAAGGAGGTTTTCCAAATTTGTATACCCAGGGATAGTACTAATGTTGTAATTAAATGTGCAAAGTATAGGAGACATCTATCCATTCATTATATACGTATATTCCTGAGTCGATATAGTCTTCTCCGTCTGCCTGTCAGACTGTTTGAATCTAAGCAATCAAGTCTCTCAGTCTTCAAGCTATCGCCATGAAACTTTGTATAGGTCCGACTTACTGTTGCAACAATGCAGCTGGCATAATTGTTCGATAATAAAGTTCTTATATGGGAAACATTTTTGCTTATAAAGATATCTTGATCAAACACTTGGAGACTAACTACCGCCTGTTTGAGCCCAGTTTGGTTCGATGTCTTCAATAGCCGTATTATCGTGTAGTTAGATGTCGTTAAATAAGATTAAGTTAAAAAACTTATGACCTCCACTAAAGGAGAGAAGGACAAAGTACTATCCAGAATGTTAAGCCCTCATTTTCAGAGAAAGAAACCTGGACCTATTTTAGTTCCTGAACCACTATTTTATATATATAACGGGACTTTCAAATAATATATAACAATATTAAAGATTTGATTTAACGCTAGCATTAAACGGGCTCTCCAACTGATTAACAATTTTATTGGTATTGAAGACATACAACTCAAAATAGTTTACTTTATCAAGCATTTAGAATATTATTTTAAGCTTCAAGTTGAGTTCATTAAGTTTTGACTTGCGAAGTTTCTTCTACCAGCTGTGCAAAATTGATCAAAATTGTTGCTTGATATTTGAATAGAATCAAACATTTTTAATCCACTAACAAATAAAATATTAAACGTGCCGCAGCCTTATTCACTGAGGATTGACTATCTGACAAAAAGTGAATAAAACTAAACAAAACTTTGAACATGTCGTATCTGAACTGGCACGAGTACACAATTTGTTCGTGGAATGTGGGATTAAGTTTTGCAATTGCAGCTCCTGAATGCATCCTTTTGGGTCTGCGGCTCACTGTCTCCGGCACCGAAATCAATTTTCTTAGCTGGTGGTGGTTTTTCACACGGCTGAGCCATGAAATCACAATCCCGGCGTGCTGCCTCTGGGAACGGACACTTGTCAATGCCAGCGTTTGCGACAAGATCATCGAACTGCTGCTGGGACATGGGCGCCTTGGCGACGTATTTGTTTTGAGGGCACGCGTATATTTTCCAGTTGGGATGCGGAGGGAGATAGTCTTTGTCCTCGTCTATATACTGTGCAGCTAGCTGAATGCAAATTTGTGGATCATCCACAGCCTTCATTAGTTTTCGCTCGAAGGCCCTCTCCTCTTCGGCCTGAATGCGTTTCATCTCGATGATTTGGGCATTTAAATCCAGGCACATCTGACGTTGTTTGCAGAGTATCATGTCTCGTGTAACTGGCGGATGGACAAAACGATTCTCGAGCATCTTGTTCTCGCGCTGTTCAGCCTCCTGGCGCATTTTACGTTCGATTTCCTCACAAATTTGCTTCTTGAGCTGCGTATGACAGCGTGCCGCCTCCTCGCCCTTGAGGCGAGTCGTCTCGGCAATGTTGCTCTTGCAGCAAAGATCCACATGGTAGAGATCATCGATGCGATCGTTCATCATCTTCTCAATGCCCAGCTCAAGGTTGCGCATGCGCCGCACATAGGCAATGTATTCGTGTGTGGCACGCGACAGCTGCCGCTTGGTCTGCCAGATGCGCTCCTTAGCCTCCGCCTCGAGGCGTTGTGTTTCGCGTATGAATTCCTCATGTTCGGCTTTTTCAGCCTCCCAAGCGGCCAGCTTTGCGCATTTGCGGCGTTTAATGTCCTCGAGCAGTTCGAGGCGATATTTCTCCTTATCATTGTTTGCTGCCTGGTGCTTGGAGTCGAACTCTTCGAGGCGGAGCTCCTCTATTAATTGATCCACTTTGATTGTGTCCAGACGTTTCTCCTCACGCTCCTTCTGGCGTTTCTCTTCATGCTCGGCCAGCTGTGCTTGCAGCACTTGGCACATCTGACCCTGCATCTGTTGGCGCTTGCGCATCTCATAATTGTGCAGTCGGTCGTACTCCTCCCAGCGTCGCTCCTCCAGCTTCTGCCAATAGCGCTCTCTTTCGCATTCTCGCCGCTTCATGCGCACGTTCTCCTGCATTTGCTCCTCCAGGCATACTTTGTTGTTGGTGCAATCCTTCTGGCGGAGCGCCTCGCGTATTTCATAGCAATTTAGCATGACCTGCTGCATTCGCTTTATATCGACGAACTTCTTATGGCGCTTGTCACGCGCCTCCTTGATCTCGTGCAGTTGCTCCTGGCGTACGCGTATCTCCTCATCGAAGCGATTCCTCACCTTGCTGGCAAACTCTTGCTCGAACACTTTGTCCTCCTTTTCGAGTAGAGCCTTCACGCGTGAACTGCGCTCTTGCAGGTCCTCGTTAGCCGCCTGCTGCGCCTTGGCCACAAGCAGCCCAATTTGCGAGTGTAGGCTCTTCCGATCTGTGCGTTGGATGAACTGAAAGTGATCTTCCCCTTTGCCGTGGTTTTGCATTTTAAAGTAAATTAACCAAATATAAATAAACTCTACGAAAGACAATTAGCTTGTCAATTTATTCTGGGTGTTTTATGTATGTAGCCAACTAAATACAATTAGGATTTAATTTTAGTTTTAGCTGTGGCTTGTTAAAACTCGAAATCAATTCTGAGTAATTTGGACTTTAGTCAAGCAGCCTACTCAATTAAATTAGTTGTGCTCAATAAAATTAGTTGTGCTTCTTCTTTATACATCTGCACTCTGTGGAATTTGTATGCTAGTTCTTCCCTCAGCTCCAATTTGTGGCATATGCCTTCTTGAGGCCTTAAATTTGTCATCCACTTGTATGTGAGTTATGAGTTTAATTTAATATTGATATTTATTGTTGTTATGGAAGTGGGAGAGGTATCGAAAAAAGGTAAACTTTGCCTGTGATTGATGTACGAAATAAATGTTAATTATGTAAACAATATTTTTAATTTTCAAATTATTTTATTATTCTCATTCTGTAAAACAAATTGCGAATTTGCTTTTTTTACTGTCAATATACGTTCTGTTTACTGTTTTTATACCACTTTCGCGATGCTCTCTAAGATCACAGACGTTGCTTAGGACAGCTTATTAAAATTTTGCTAGATCAAATCTTCTTCACAAGTTTTTTATGGAACAACTCATGTAATAATATAAATAAATTATAATAATAGTAAAAATAACTCCACTATAATAAGAGCACGGAATTACCGGGTACAAGGCAAAGACGTAAAAAGAGTTAACAACTAAAAATGCTGCTAATAATTTTACAAAAATAGTCCATATTCCATTATAATGCCTGGAACGAAAGACTTGTCTATATGTAATCAGTGTCATTTGCATATCATCAAAGTACATGCACTTATACACTTATACATATACGCACAAGAGATGAGCGAATACGCCATTTTGTGCCCTGTCGTGCTTAATGTCAGATTTCTGGGAAGCGCAAGTGCATAATTAATGAGCATCGAGGAGGCGACGAATTCAGTTGGCGGCGATTGCCTGTCACCTGTCGTATCTCATCGCGGCACTTTTACGGTTGTACATTAATTGCCCATGAGCTGGCGAAAAGTGAGTGCTAATAAGATATTGCGCATACGTCATGTTGTCAAAAGCGTTTAACCCAATTGCCGGCATCGTTTCGTGTGCGTGCCAAAAATTGAATTAATTCGTTTAACATCTGCACCTGGAGAGCGTGGCTGCATCAAACATTTACAACATTCACAGCTCAGACACAAGCTATTGTTGTTGCTTGTGTTTGTGTTTCGGTTTCTATTGCTTTTTCAGTTGGCCCAGAAGTGCAAGATCCTTGGCTGTTTTTCTTCTCAAAAACGTGTGTGACATTTGCTCTTGTTGCTGCTGCTGTTGCTGTTGCTGTTCCTGCTGCTTTTGCCCTTAACTCAATTAGCAATGCAACTGCCACACTAATTAACTCAGATGCGAGATGAAAAGTTGCAAAACTTTTGCCCAGATGCCACACTTCCGTGTTGCAACTGTGTCCTTTGCCATGTGTGTGAATGACAAACTTAATGTTGCTTTTGCTGCTGTTGTTGTCTCCCTAACAACTGGCGCAGCTTGGTGCGACTCTTCAGTTTTCCCTGCCGAAATATTGGCAAGCGCATGTTTGCTCAAGTGCAAAATTGTGCCATTACGAAACTGCACAGCTCCGCTTTGCTGTCAACATGCCGCCCACTTCTTTGGCCACATTCACATGATTTTCCGGTGAACATGTTTTTGTTTTTGCCAGCACATTTTGAGAACAAAGTTGGTGGCTGCGCCTTGAGGCAATTTGGCATGAGTTTTCTCCAGAAATTTAATATTGCCATCATTTAAATTACTAAATGAATTTGCATGACTGCGAGCAGACAGTAGAACAGCTAAATCATTATTATCCCGATATGTAAGTATTGAATATATATAAAAGATCCTTATTAGCTATTTGCTAAATCATAATAAATACTTAAAAATGTTGATGGTTTTGATTACGGTTTGATTCAATTGCAATAAGTTAAGCTCGTTAACTTTTCCATGTAATTGATTTTCAAAATTGTAATGCAACAATTCAAAACTAAACAAGTAAGAGGTTCTAGTCGGGAGCTCCCGACTAGGGGATACCCTGAACCCTTTTCTTGCAACATCAAATATATATATATATTCTATTTTAGAAGCTTTATGTCAAGTTTTGTGACTCTAGCTCTTATTATTTACCAAAATTGGCCAAAAAACAGGATATCGATATAGATTTTTATCGATTGCTTGGAAACGGAGGAAGTTATCGGTTATCGGAAACAAACTCGATCTGCGCGGGAACTAGGAGCATCTACATCTAAAAATCTCTAGCTCTTTTGGTTTTACATAGCTCAAATCCTTGGGATATTTGATTTGGAATTCCTAAAACTCTGCCTTGAATTATAATCATTTATATAAAAACTAGGCAATAGTTGCTGTAGATCTTTACGCCAAAGGAAATCAAATTCGACTTGGATTAAAGCTCATATACGTTGTTATTCTGTTTATTTTGCCAAAAAATACACACACACACACACACCACGCACCCACTTGCGGCAAAATCAGCTCAATGCATTTCTATGCAAATAACATGACGTATACGCCAAGTGCGACATGTGCTGATTGCGTTTTTTGGCGCGGCGGTGCACCCCATTGCCTGCAATGTGTTGCAGTTGGAGCCACATCTGCGTTGGCCACGTGGCCCGGCCAATTTATTTACCTGCCTGCCATATACATATTTTATGCTGCTGTGCATTTGGCAAACAACGTTTTTTTCCGTTGCCATGGCTTTTATTTAGAAATTTGTTCACTTGACCAAGCAAAAACGCAGCACTTCGCATTTATTTCATTTACGCTTGAAATTTGATGTGTGTTCAGCGGGCGAACCTGTATTAGCGTTTCTCCTATTCTCACCAGGTTTTTCAATTTTGCAATGCAACTTTTTTCGTTTGGCTTTCATATTCATTTCATTTTATTTTCTCATGAGCTGATTGTAAATAACATCGCTTGGTTGACCAAATTTGCTGGCTTAAAAACAAACACCGAAGAGTACAAGGAAACAAGCCAAAAACCTAAAAGCCATTTCCATGAAATGTTTGTGCATTTGGTTGCCAAACACACACATCCACACACACACACACACACACACACACATCTAGACAGACGCATTCAGCCACTGATGTACAACCTAACTAACTCACACAGCTGCTGTAATATATATTTTAAGCAGCCCATGAATATTTAAATGCATAAAATGAAAAAGCACAAATACATATGAATTAGACATGCACACACACATTATACTACTATTCATTACATCCATGTATGCGTGTGGCTTAAAGCATATGCAAAACGCAGACAGTTGACGCTAAGTATGCGCTCCTGCCCATGTAGGTGCAGCGATGGCCACAGAATGCGCATTTTCTTGGCTTTGGCAAGGTTGCGATACAAGAATGTGCATATGAATGTGGGCTGGGCTGAATAGCAACCACAAAGGATATGCCTGAGGAGCGGGCATATATTAGCATATCTTTTTCAGATGTAAAATAAAAATATATTCAACATTTTCATAATTTTGTGTTCTTTGAACATTTTTAATAACCACGTTTCAGTTGCACTGTTTTGCAGATATGTTTCTTTTGATGGCAAGCAAAGCTAATTGTTTGTTTAAATATCTCCTTTGGTTTACTGGATTCATATTTTCATTATAGATTGTTTTTAAAAACAATACGATGCCAATTAAAAGCTTTCAAATATTTAACAAATTAAAACAAAAATTACTAAAATTATTTGCAGAAGGCTTTACCTGATGCCATTTGAAAAACAGACAAACACAAACCCATCTCTACATTTTTTGATTTTCGTTTGGCTTTTTTTCGTTTGTCTCAAATTAATTTGAAATTGTAAAATGCAGGCGAAAACATATATAAACTGGACTGCGTGTTATTAAAGCAAATAAATCACATTAAATAAAAAGAACATTATAAAAAAAAAAAAATAACACTACGAACAACAGTTCAGATAACATTTTGAGTAGAAAAGTGTGTGATGTGTATATTTATACATAAATAATTAAATAAAAATAAAAAGGGTTGAACTTCGGGCTTATAAGCAAAAATAAATTAACTATTAATTTTCGGAATTTTTGATGGTCGTAAAAATGAATATGAAATTTGTTTTTAATAAATAATAGAGCATACATTTTTGATAATTGTATATTTTAATATTACATCGTTTATTTCATTAAAGTAGCAATGGACAGCGCCGTCGCTGTGCTCTACGTTAGGGATAACAACAGGAGTGCGTGAAGTTTGAGGTAGTAGCCGATGGATTTTTTGGGGGCGAATTAGCGTAAGCTTGTCAATGGCAGGTGGCAATTGGCATTGTGTTGCAGGCCTTGTGGGAAGGAGGAGTAGACGCTGTCACCTTTGCCATCCACTGAAATTCCATGCCTGTTGGCCACACGTGTGACCACCAATTGTGGAAAGCCGTGGCAATTATAGCTTGGTTGCTATAATTATATATTATAGTATGTGGTAGAGGAAGTTGTTGCCTCTATTGCCCATATTTCGATACGCTGATTCTACAAAGCCGTGCCTCTTGGCAGCCTTAGCTGCGGGACTTAACTAGTTATGTGAATTCATGCCTTAAGTTTTTTCATAGTCATTTAATAAGTGCAAACATTTGAAAGTGGACAAATTTTTCTTAGTATCCCATAACGATAAAAATATTTTCATTAAGGAACATTCTAAGAACAAAAGCTTGTGTCCATTTGTAATCGTTGTGTGATACATTAAAGTGTCATCAAAAACGCTGCAAAGCTCCCACCAAGCCGAAAAAGTCAACTTAATATTATCCTGAGCAAAAGTTAAATTTTTCCTTAAATATTTATGCACACACTCAACGACGAGTTGGGGAGGCATTATAATGAAATTATAATTCACTTAATGTGCCTCAAATGGCACACGCAAAGGCTTGCGCCAAAAGATATGCAGCATATTTACATAAGTATATATGTATGTGTGTAGAGTAAGGTGCAAATCGTCTGACTCGATGATACCCTAAGAAGTCAGACGAGAATAGTTTTGTGTTAAATATCAAGTTTGAGCAGAGAAATATGGTAAATTTATCATCCAATCCAATAGCAATAAGAAAAATATAGCTCTTTGGGAGGGAGCTTGCTTAAAGTTTGTTCCATACAATAACAAATGTCTTTGTTAATTAACATAAAACAACACAATCATTATTGAAGTTGTTGCTGTAGGTTAAGAAATTTTGCTCATACCATCCCATAAGTTGTATACCCTTTCATTATTTTAGCAAAGCATGAAAATTATTCCATTAATAATCAACTTTATGAGGCCTTGAGCTTATCAATGGGTGACACACCACATTAAAATTCCATGAAAATTATGCAATTATGAGTGACAGAATTTGTAAAATACTTTTCAGTTAACATATATAAATATGTAGTCGTGGGCCATGGACTTTGTAAGGGTAAGCTTTCCCGGTCCATTGAAATGCAATTAAAGTTTAAATTGCAAGTGTCTTCAGTTCGTTCTTGCAAATTACAATATGCATGAGATGAACTCTTTGCGCAAGAATTTCGATTGATTGAGTCGAGGGTTGTTGGGCTTTATTCTGGGATGGACAATTGCCAAGAGCATAACACTGAAGCTGGAGATGCCGAAGCACCGGAAATTCAATATTGCCTTGCTACTGTTTCAGTATTTCAGTATTTGGTTTTGATGACTTGACAACTGAGACGATTGAAGTCACCGTCCACGTCCACGTCAGCTTCAGCGTCAAAGTCAAAGTCAACTTCAATGTCAAACCAATCACCACATTACTGTGGCAATCAATTCTGGCAATATGGCTTCTTGGGTTCCGCAGACACTTGGCCACCTTTTATGGTCTCAAGTCCATTAGCTGTCACTTAGCGTAAAACAAATCATAAATAAAATGTGTTTCGTCCAAGACAAGCAATCGCCTATGCCAGGCAACAACTCCACCTAATTATGCTGTCATAAAAACCAGCTCAAAATGATTTTGCTAAGCCAAATTGTGGGGCCAAATTGTGAATGCTTCCAGTTTGAGCTAAACAGCCAACGTTAATTGTTAAACACTCGAGATTAATATCAGTGCCAGAGCGCAATCTATGTCTGGAGAGATACACATGTATATCTCTCACTGTCCCTGGCCCAGGCTCGTTTATGGCCTATTTATGGACATGGACGTTGTTGTACCATTATTCATAAAAATGCTTGACCAAAATGCTCAAGCACATTCCTAAAGGAATTACATTCGGTTCTGCTTCTGCTGGGTATACATCCAGTGGGCGTGTGTGAGTGTAAGTGTGTGTGTTTGTGCATAAATCAGGGGGTATGTTTGTGTGTCCATCGTTTACCCAAATAAGCGGCCATCAGGGTCATGCTTCTTTCTCCCTTGCTTCACAGCTGTGCATGCCTTTTCCTTTTTGCTTTTTTCTCGGCATCTGACTGAATCACGTAAAGAGGTGCGTTTAAGTAGTTATCAATATTGTATAAAACATTAATAGAATGTGTACATGTTATGAGTAAACTCTTATATTATTTATACATTATAATGACACCAAGAAAGCACTTTAAAAAATTCAACAGAGCTTAAATATATATATTAAAAGTAACACATGCAAATATCCTGCAATATATCTAGAGCAGAGAAAATTAAAAACTCTTTCAGCTAGATATAGTCTTTTTTTATAATCTTTGTTCTCTTTTAAGCACTTTTTTGACATACAAAAAAGGGTCTGTTTATTTAAAACAAAGAAGAGAAATGGAATATATATATATAATACAGGTTATGGCATATAAGTTTCCATGCATGCGTATGCTTAATAACAACTTATAGTGTATCTACCACGCAAATATGCTCGACAAAAAACGCTATTTTAAATTTTCAATTAAAAACTCTAAAAAGCACTCGCTTTTTTTTCATATTGTGTACCTTAGTAGAGCGAATTGAATGTTGAGAACGAACCACTTTGTAAAGTGAATTCCATTCACATTTCGTTTGCCCTATTTTATGCGTTCTGCAGCTTTCGGTAGTGTGTGGCAGCTTTAACTGCTGCCTGACTGATTTTATTAGCTGAAAATGCGATGTCTGCTACTCATGCTGCTCATATTTAATATCCTCACTGTTGCTGTCCATATAGTTATGACTGCTCGGTGTGGGAACTGTTATCGCTCGCCTGCTTGGCTAGCAAATTTACATTTTTTCCTGGCATTCTGCTTGGTTATTTTTATTGCTGCGAGCACATTTTGGTTTTGTTTGTGCTGCTTGCCACTTGCCACTTGCCAGTGCCAATTGCCGCTGATGTTTTATTTTACAACTTTGTTTTTATACAATTTCTCAACTGCTGTCACATCATTTTGAATTTTTGTTGCTAACCGCCGATGGGGTCAACAACCTGTGCTACTTCAGCCAAGTTCAGAAATGGAAAATACTTGAGATTAGGCGACATCTTAGGCAACTAGTTTACTGCATATACATAACATATGTGTGTAGAAAGGGCAAACAGATGACGTCTCGAAGTCAACTCCTATTCCGAATTTCGTGCATGTTTGAGTTTTCCCAATAAACATTTTATTTTATAGGTCAAGTCGCTTGCTCAGCTGCTATCTAATTAATTAAAAAGGCTACAAATTTTACGTTTAAGACTTCAATATCTGTAATTTCTTTGCGCTTGTTACATTTATCTTGATAATTCTAGCTTTTCCTGATTTAAATTAATTAAGCGGATAATACTCGCATGGGAATGCAATAAGCCCTTGGCCTTGTTCGCTGCAGTTGGTCTTGTGACAAGCTTTTGCCACCTAATTAAATTTCAAATGCAGCAGCAACACAATCCAATAGCTGTATGTTTGTGTGCCGGACTGTCAACATTTGCGCGCGCACACACACACACACACACACACACACTCACGCACACAGCTTACAGGATACGCGGTCGACTAGAGCTCGACGTTAATCATAATAATGTCACCACTAATTGCATTGCGTATACGCACACGTGTACTATGACTTGACTACAACCAGCGCCGGCTGCTTTGTCCCCGTAGCTCGCTTGCTGTCTTAATAACCAGACCATAATTTGGCATTAGTGGGGCCATCCCTTGGAGACCCATAGCAGCGCCCTGACGCCTGCATGGATATATTTAATACAGGCTGCTTTGCGTGCCTTGAAGCTCTCTGTAGCTTTGCTGGGATAACAACTTGTTTAAGCATTCTGCGATTGCAAGTAGTAATTGTGTATGCTATTGATCAGTATATATATTTCTATGCACATTTGTACATATATTCGTAATTTGAAATAAGTCTCTGTGATGAAAATCTACACATTTTCTGCTAGTTAGTTTTTTTAAAAATTATATAGGTTATAAGTATTTAGTTACCATACGAATAACTCCGACGCATTTACCAACATACTGGAGAAAATTCATTTGAAACGCTTTTCACACATTTGCCAAAATCCATCCCTCTTGAATGGAAAATGTTATTGCGCAACTTTATTTTTCAGCTTCAAGCTCTTCATTTAACAAGAATAAACAAGTGTTTTAACGGATTTTGAAGAGATTACTTCAGACCCATTTTCAAGTATCGTTGTAAAATAAATAATTATAAATTTACGACAGGCAAGTAATATATGGAAACGTAATATCTTAAATTTGAAGTAACAAACTTGGGCCGAGCAAGGCTCACTCTTGTTTTTCGAATTAATTTAAAAAAAATCATTTCCAAATTAATTTATTTTTGATATTATAGCTTTAGTATTAAATTTACTATTAATTATCGTGACTCGATTATTGAAACTTTTGAAAGACTGGCAGTGTAAGAGTATTTTATTGAAATTCTCAACAGAATGCGACCATGGTAAGTTTAATTAATTCAAATAAAATAAAAACTCTGCTTTAATTCTTAACTCATGTTCAGACACAATGAATAATTTCCCACTGAAGTGGTTCACTGTTGTCATTTGACTGTAACAAGAGAGAGAAATAAAAGCAATTTAATGGAAATTAAATGCTGACGGACTGCAAATTAATTTAAATTATCAGCTATTTAATCGGGAAATAAGCGTTAACTTACCGCCAACATAGATGTCAACCTGCGTCCAATTCAACTTGCTGGCAATGCTCCGCACGGCCAGGGCAATTGCCTCAAATGATGGCAGAAAATTGCTCGAGATCTGTAAAGCAAGATACGAAAATGTTGAAAAAAGCGCTTCATAGCAATCTCCCATGTATATATGTATATATGTACCAACACTAGTTGTCAGCGAAAGCTATTTAATTTTTTGCACTTTTGTTGCCTCACAACAAGTGTAAAGTTCACGTTTCGGTTTACCTTCTATTAGATTTCTCTGGGAGCAGCACAAATGAGAAGCTAAACAACATTAGTTGAGCTGTTTGTTGAAATTAAACAAATTAAATGCTTAGGTCTTCTGATGTAGTCAATAATTGAGGGTTGGAGCAACTGTTTTACTGCTGTAATTAACAAAGCTCCCATTTCTATAGCAGTTACAGCTGAACAGTATAAAAAGTTCACTTTACAGTCATCTGATTCCGACGGGATACCGTGCCATGAGGTCTGACCTGAACACCTCAATATGGGCGTACAAAGGTTTTCACTTTTGGAATACCTTTTATTAATTTTTATAAGTAGAGCCGGGCACTTACGACTAGAGCACTCCGACTTGTTGTTAGTTTTGTATCAGAGTGTAAAAGAGTAAGTGGTATTTTTGGGTCAACGAATTTACAAGTTATTTCCTCTATTTGACATCAACTTAAGTATTGCCTCTTGGTTTGCTTTTAAATACTATTATATACAATAACTGAAAGTATATTGAAAGTCGATCAGGCAAAAGTTAAAACTGTTAACTGTTAAGTTAAAAATTTTCATAAGGATATGAGTTAGAAACTCACCCACAAACTCACATAACGCAAACGCCACCCATAAATGTTGCTCCTTCTGTCATCGGAAATTGAACAAAGACAAATACAAAGGACTTCCACGATTTTCCCCCACATAAAGTATCTACAGCAAAAGTTTCAGCTTTCCAGCTCTTTGACCGGGGACAAACTGTTGTATATGTAGAGATAATATTACTTTCAATAATTAATACAATTTGAGTTGCTGCAGCAAAAGTTATCAGTTCCCAAGAAATGTCGTGAACTGAAGTACGGTTAGTTATATGACTTGTATAATAACAAAATCTAAGTGAAATCAGTTTACATTCATAGGAATTGAAAATTATTATTTATTTTCAAGGCAGCTTTTTGGTTTAGCTAACATAAGTTAGTTATGTGAACATGACCTTAGTTCATTAAAATCGGCTTATATAAGATTTATCATTTATTTGTTGAGATTAAATTGGTTGCGGCATCTTTAGAATCAAAGCTACCCAAAAATATATATATATTTTCCAACTAAAGTTAACTTTTACATGCATTCAATTATGTCTGCTGTGAGTTATTTACGATCCTTGTCTGACAGCCAAATCGGCCACATTACTATAGACAATTCAATCAGGTTTAATCAAAGCATTAAACACAATGTGTGTCTATGCACGTATGTGTGTTTGTGTGTGGAAGACACAACACCCAACAAAGTTCAATCAATAATCAGGCCTCACACCCAAATTATCATCGTACTCAGGCATAAAAAGGTCCCTGCCCATCGCATTTTGTATTGGCATTGATGAGGGCCAGTCTGTTGTTGCTATCAGCAGCTGGCACAGGGCCTGCACGTAGCTTAAAGTTGTTTGGTACCTTTTTGACCTTTTTTTTTTTTTGATTTTTTATTTTTATTTTTTTTTTTGCTGTTTCTCACATTTTGTTTGGACTCATTTGTTGGCTTGATTTGAGTTTGCGCCCTGGACAACTGGCCAAGTTGCTCGGGTGACTGTCTGTCCGGCAGCTTATTTGCTCTGCTCCCCTGTTGCTGGCTGCTTCATTATTATTTTGGCAGACGAAATAAATTGAAAAATGCTTGAAATACGTTTAGGCACATACAATTTTCAACAAAATTGAATTTTAAACTATGCAACAGGAACAACGGAAGCAATCAGCTCAGCCATCAATGGCCCTGACTGATCTGATTAGGCAATGACTTGGCCTTTTTTTCATTTTATATATATATCTCAACACATAAATATAAAACACAATGCGAATACTTTTCCTTGTTGTGCAACTATGCGTATACATAATGGAATTGACGGCCAATGAAAAAGAAAAAATATATATATAATTGACGTGTGAATTTTGTGAGCACAACGAGCTCTAGAAAGCAGGTGGCCTTTAGAGCTTTTAGGAAACATACATATTTAAGGTTGCTTAAGACCTAAATGCAGTGGATTGAGAAAGTTTTTGATATTATTGTGCTATTTTATTTTATAAGCAGAAGGAACAATCTCTTTGATTTCGAGTACCAGACATTGTGACCAAGAACGCAAGCCAATTTTATTACGAATTAGTTTGAGTCTGGAGTCCATGTAATTCAATGAGCCGAACCTTAAGTCAAAGCCTTTGAGGAAAGATAACCTAAACCAAACCGAATTTTTCTCAAAAATGCTTTGGTGGAAAATAAACAACTCTTAAGGCCGATTCAGCACAGAAGCATAAATAACTAACATATCTAACTACATATATTTGGAAAATGCCTATTTTGGGTTAGGCTGTAATTTAGCCAGCGACTTTTTAATGAAAATTGAAACGCTAGGAAATAATTTGTGTAGAACGGGGACTTATAAATTACAAATTGCTTAGTTTCATGTTGTTTTGGAAAATATATGTAAGCCTAAGCTGAAACTAAAAACTGAGCTTAGAAACCTCAGCATTTACTCGGCAGATCTTACCTTTACTCTTAAGACAAATTTAAACAAAGCGATTAAACTTTTTACTAAATTTAAAATGTATCCAATAAGCCCTATGAAAAGTATATTTTACTAGTAGTACAAAATACGATAGCAAATGGGATAAATAATGAGTTACAACATTTCTACGATTTGTTATTTAAAAATCTATTTAAATGGAAAACTAGCTGTGTCGGATATTCAGTACAGTTAAAATGTATAAATTGTGGAAAAGATGTTTTGTATGAGTTGAGCTAATTGACGGAGTAAAGTCAATCTTAAATATATCCGAATGCTTGAGAAATTCTTCCTAGAACTTTAAGTAAACAGGTTCCCAATAAATATGAATCGTTCGCACTAAATTAATGGTATTGACGCATCCCGAGTTTACTCTGCAAACCATAGATACGCCATGCTGATGTGCCAGGCAACTAATACATATTTTGTGCGAAAACCCAATAAATGAAAAAAACAGCTGCATATTGTGGCAACAACTGCAACACTTTGGCATCAAAGTGCATTTCGGATGTCTATTGACGCAACGTGACCAGCCATGACAGTTCGGGCATTTACTTGCGCAGCTTGACCAGCTTGCCAGCTGCTAAGTGCACTTGAGCCGATGGGAAATTCAAGTGATGTCTTTTAGTTCCTTTGTTTAGTGTTCGTTTTTGATGGCACTTTGTTTTATTGCCCGATAAATCGTTAAACATTCAATCAGTTTAATTAATTGCCATACAAAAGACGAGCAAAATGAAATTCATGCTAAGCAATCGACTATTCTCCCCTCTTTCTTACTTTTTTTTTGTATCGCGAAAATGAGTTTCCGGAGCCGTTGCCGTCGCCGTTGCCGTCGCTTCCTTTCTGTTACAGGTGAATTGTTCCATGCAAAGGACCAGCAGTGTACGTTGAATCAACATTAATCATAGCTCAGCAAATATTTGACATTTGTATGTACCCTAGATTGTCGGCTTGGCTTATCCTTATTCTTAAGTTCCCCTCAAGCAGCGCGGCATTTCCTCATGTCCTACCTTCTTGGAGCACCCTTATGGCGCAACAACATGCCATATTTAGTCTCATGTTAATAATTTAATTAAAGGTTTTTGCATGCTCATACAAATATGAGTGAGTCCCTTGTGCTTAAAGCCCGGTTAGCAAACATATTTTCATATGCTTCTCAAATTGCTTTAGATGTAATTTACTGGAATGCCCAAGGAATTTGTTTTTTCAAACTACAAGCTACTGAAATAAAAACAAATCTAGTTTTATTTGAATTATTAAGGAGATCAATGGTGAAAAACAAACATTTAATAATTGTCTACTTTTGCGAACAGGAGTTAGTTAATTAAGCTTGCAATTTCCGAGTCTTTGTATATGTTCTGAGTACTCTCTGAATGTTCCAAATGTCCAGCATTAAAAACCCTACTCATATAGTTACCTGGTCTGTAATATTCCAACTATATTACAGACCAGGTAATCTATAGTTTAGGGACGTATTTTTGAGAACGGTATTTACATTAAACTTTAAATTGCCCAATATCGTAATTGCTTTTGCAGTTTGCTACGATAAAATGATGTCTCCAAAATAAAAATGGTTGATTAAGAGAATGCGACTTTTATTTTTATATTTATGCATTATATTTTTGGTTGCCTCGGCCTGTTTCAATAACAAGCAGCTGTCGTTTTCAAATAAAAATTAATGTGCGCTGACTTTTTATACAGTCATTATTATCAATACAGTATAATAAAAGGCAAAAGTTGTCCCGGACACTTAATTTGCTGTCATTTAACTGAAAATAAATGGCCAAAACATGCGTCTGCAGTGGCAACAGCAGCACATTAAACGACAAGAGAAGCATCAGAGCCGATGTCGGAAGCGGAGACAGAAACAGAGCTGGAATTCGAGGTCGGACGCAGCACAGAAATAAGTTCTCAAGCTGCTGGCCTAGTTTGGTCAGCCCTTCGTTTTATTTTTTTCTTTTCGATTTGGTGAGCCAGAAATGCAGAATAGGAGAAATAACTATGTTTATTGTGTGGCAAAATGGCAACAAGCACCGAGGTGCTATAAAGTTACACAGCAGAGCTGGCTGGTTGAGGCGGCCGTGGCCGTGGCGTCTGGCTGCTTGTCTAACCAAATGACTGTCAGATTAAATCACACTCACACACACACATTTGATACCATCTCCTCACACACACAGACACACTTACACAAATGCAAATCACACACAACTCGCACGTGCTGCTATTGCCAAATGGTTTTCATTTGTTTCGTTTCGTTTAAGCACATGGCAAATTTCTATTTTCTGCTTTTCCGTGTACGCAAATTGAAAACGCTTTGA